ATTATGGAATTCAGAATCCCAAAGATGTTAATTCAATCCCTCTTGGTCCTGGAAAAATAGTTTATCATACTCAATCCGTCTTCAAATCTCTGTGCAAGCTATTAAATCCTCCACCTGAAACCCTTGGTGCTGCTGCTTTAGCACTGCACTATGCAAATGTTATCATTGTGATTGAGAAGCTAGCAACTTCTCCACATTGATTGGTGTTGATGCAAGAGATGACCTGTACAACATGTTACCAAGACGTATGAAAGCTGCCATCAAGGCCAATTTAAAGCCATATACCAAAACCATGGCGTCATCATGAGTCTATGACACAGGTCTAGCAGAAGAATGGACTGAAGCAATGTCAAGCATATTGGAATGGCTGGCACCTCTTGCTCATAACATGATAAGATGGCAATCTGAGAGAAGTTTTGAGTAGCAGAGCTTTGTTTCCCGGACAAATGTGCTTCTGGTACAAACCCTTTACTTTGCAAATCAAGAAAAGACAGAAGAAATAATCACCGAGCTTCTTGTCAGTCTGAATTATGTCTGGAATTATAGTAGGGAGCTCAATGCAAAAGCTCTGGCAGAGTGTGCCAGTTTTAGGATAAACAATGAATATCCTAATCTGAATGGATAAACAATTTGCATTAAGGTCGTGGCTATTTTCAACAGCAGTCCAGTTCCTCACCAGACTCTGGGATGAGGACTTGCAGAATCACCAACCATCAGTCTTCTTCAATCAATGAATGTGAATCAAATGCGAGCTAAGTGTGAGAGAAATATCTATATGTCCATTATTATGGAAATTTAGTATCAGAATGCGTTCCTGGTGAGAATTTTATTTTTAATCAGTAGTTTTCTTTGGTGAGTTCCAAGCTGCTAGAACTTGGATGGCTGGTCTCATTTTTTTTTTGCAATGTTGGCCTTTCCTCTTTTTCTCTTTGATGAGTTATGATAAGTCCATGATTTGTGACTTAGAACATGTGGTTTAATGTTAAAATGAGAATGAAAAGGATATCTTTTGTTAATATAAACCCCAAATATTACATAAAAATGAAATATTCTGATTTTAAGTGCTAATGGGTTGTTTTTGTATATTGCAGGCCCAACTACTCATTTTATCCAAGCAAAGAAAAAAAGAATGAAAAAGACAAGAAACAAAGGAATCTTGGGCTGAGGCTTTACCTTACAAGTCAGTAAAGAAACAAAAGAAGAGAAACTAATAAAGGAAGAATGGCCCAGAAGAAACAAAGATGATTAAAAGCCCAACTTGAAGAAAGAAGGAAGCAAAGTGAGAGAAGCCCAAGTCAGAAAAGAAAGAAAAGAAGAAAAAGGGAATGAGATGCAAGAATCGAGTCAGTAGCGTGGAAAGTGAACTAAGGAAAAAGAAAACCCTAGCACAACAAAACCGCTCAACCAAACCCACCTCCATCTAGACCCTCATCTCAACCGCTCCTTCCAAATCCCTTCACCGATCTAGACCGTCCTCCAAATTCGGTCGAAGACACAGAACCCTAACCCCATCACGGTTCTTTCCTTGAATCGAACCACCCACAACACAAACCCTACCCGATTTTTGTGCGAGATAGAAAAATCCAAACAAGTTGATGAGCTGGAGGTTGTTAGTAGTGGTGGCTGGAGCTGCTTTTGTGGTGCGTTGCTAATCGTGCAAGGGACACCCACGATCAAGTGGAGCGAGGAGCATACGTACGGTTGGAGGAGGTGATTTGGGATCAGCTATAAAGAAGGAGATAAAGGCATTTGTAGGACTCTCCTCTCCTCTCTTCTCTTCTTCTTTGCTGAGTTTATTTTGCTCTTGGATATTTTTTTATTTTACTGTTCTTTTATTTTATTTTTAGTAGTTTTATTTGTAATTTTTTGTAAGCACTGCTTCAGGGCTATATGCTGTTGATAGTTCCTGCATTTTAATTTTTGTTAGTTGTACGTTGTAGTTTGTTGTTTTATGAACCTTTGTTGTATGTTTGCTTATCAACCTGTGGTGATGAGCTAATTTCCTTAGAGTTAGGTTGAAAGAGTACCCGGAACTCATTTGTTATTAGTGATGTTTTGAAGTTTAAAGTATTGATTCCAGTTTGTTTACTGTGTGTTTTTATATGATGAGTTTATTATGTGATGGTCACACATAGGCTACTCCTAGTGGTGTGAGATTATTGGGAAATAACTCACACTAGACCCCACTCGGCTCATCCTGGTGCACAACGGCTCACCCTGGAGCATCACGGCTCATCCTGGTGCACCACGGCTCATCCTGGTGTACGACGACTCATCCTGGTGCACCACGGCTAGCCTATGGTGCACCACAGCTCATCTTGGTGCACCACGGCTCACCCTGGTGTCCCAAGGCTAGCCTATGGTGCACCACGGCTCATCTTGGTGCACCATGGCTCACCCTGGTGCCCCAAGGCTAGCCTATAGTGCACCACGGCTCATTCTGGTGTACCACAGTTAGCCGCAGGTGCACCACAGCCCATCCTGGTGCACCACAGCTCATCCTCGTGCACCACGGCTAGCCTATGGTGCACCACAGCTCATCCTCGTGCACCACGGCTCATCCTGGTGCACCACGGCTAGCCGAAGGTGTACCACTGCTCATCCTGGTGCACCATCGCTAGCCTATGGTGCACCACCCTATGGTGCACCACGGCTCATCCTGGAGCATCACGGCTCATCTTGGTGTACCACGGCTCATCTTGGTGCACCACGGCTAGCCGCAGGTGCACCACGACTCATCTTGGTACACCACGGCTAGCCGCAGGTGCATCACGACTCATCTTGGTACACCACGGCTAGCCGCAGGTGTACCAAGGCTCATGGTACACCACGGCTCATCCTGGTGCACCACGGCTCACTCTGGTGCACCACGGCTAGCTCCTAGTTCACCACGGCTTATCCTGGTGCACCACGGCTCACCCTGGTCCACCGCGGCTAGCCCCTGGTGTACCACGTCTCATCCTGGTGCACCACGTCTCACCCTGGTGCACCATGGCTCATCCTGGTGCACCACGGCTCATCTTCGTGCACCACTGATGCACCACGACTCACCCTGGTGCACCATGGCTAGCCTCTGGTGCACCACAGCTTATCCTGGTGTACCACGGCTAATCTTGGTGCGCCACGGCTCACCTTGGTGCGCCACGGCTCACCTTGGTGCACCACGGCTAGCCTCTGGTGCTCCACGGTTCATCATGGTGCACCGTGGCTCACCCTGGTGCACCACAACTAGCCTACTTGGTAGCCCATAAAGCCTTATGCTCCAACTCCACAAGCAAATGACAAGACTTTCCATCCACCAATTGATAAGGAGACATACCTATTGGAGTCTTGAATGCAGTTCTATACGTCCAAAGCGCATCATCAAGCTTTCTTGCCCAATCCTTCAAGGAATTCCTAACAGTCTTCTCAAGGATTCTCTTCAACTCTCTATTTGACACTTCAATCTGCCCACTAGTCTGAGGGTGGTAAGGTGTAGCCATCCTATGATTCACTCCATACTTCGCAAGCAAACTGTCTAATTGCTTATTGCAAAAGTGTGTCCCCCATCACTGATAATAACTTTAGGGAAACCAAACCGAGTGAAGATGTTCTTCCTCAGAAATTTCACCACCACTTTAGCATCACTGGTGGGAAAAACAGCAGCCTCAACCCACTTAGACACATAATCTACAGCCACCAGAATATATTGGTTGGAATAGAATGATGGAAATGGGCCCATAAAATCAATTCCCCATAATCGAAAAGTTCTACCTCCAATATGCTATTCAGAGGCATCTCATCCTTGCGGGAAATATTTCCAGTTCTTTGACACTTCTCACATCTCTCAACATAGTCCCTAACATCTTTAAACAGTGTAGGCCAATAATAACCACTATGTAAAACTTTTTGAGCAGTTCTACTACCTCCAAAGTGACCTCCGTAATTTGATGCATGGCAATGCCACAGGATCTTATGCACTTCAAACTGTGGCACACACCTCTGGATAATTTCATTAGCACATTGGAAATACAAGTAAGGGTCATCCCAATGAAATCTCCTTGCATCCCGTAGAAACTTTTTCTTTTGTTTCCTAGTAAGATTAGGAGGCAACTCTTTTATCACCTTGTAATTGGCAATATCTGCAAACCAAGGAAGTACAAAAATAGCCATCACCCTCTCATCAGGGAAGGCGTCATTTATTTCTTTTTCAGGACCATCTTGCAATTCCTTCTCCTGAATTCTTGACAAATGATCTACCACCTTGTTTTCTACCCCAGACTTCAAGTCGAACTCTTGAAACAAGAGCATCCACCTTAGCAAACGAGGCTTGGCATCCTCAAGAGTTTTCTCCACCATGTCAGAAAATATGGAGAGCATGCACCTCTGAAACGTAGCAGGTGTGTTGCATAGACCAAACGACATCCGTCTATATGCAAATACTCCAAAAGGGCAAGTGAAGGCTGTTTTCTCCTGGTCCTCCGGTGCCACTGGTATTTGATTGTAACCAGAATATCCATCCAGGAAACAGTAATAAGCATGCCCGACCAATCTCTCTAACATCTGGTCCACAAAAAGAAGTGGAAAATGGTCCTTCCCTGTGGTGGCATTCAACCTCCGGTAATCCACACACATCCTCCAACCAGTAATAGTTCTGGTCAGAATTAGTTCATTTTTTTCATTGTGGACCACAGTGACGCATCCCTTCTTCGGAACAGTTTGCACTGGACTCTCCCAAGCAGTATATGAAATCGGGTAAATCATGTCAGCATCAAGAAGTTTCCCCACTTCCTTTCTCACTACCTCCTTCATTGTAGGATTAAGCCTCCTTTGAGGTTGCCTCACAGGTTTGACATCATCTTCCATGAGAATTTTGTGGGTACAAAAAAGAAGGATTTATACCCTTCAAATAAAAAATGGACCACCCTATGGCAGTCTTGTGTTCCTTCAGAACTTCTATCAACCTCTTTTCCTGCTCAGAAGACAATCCCTTATTAATGATAATAGGGTAAGTCTCCTCATCACCAAATAAAAATGTATTTAAGAGTTTCAGGCAGCTCCTTTAACTCTATTTTTGGGGCACCATCTTTTTTGTCAGAATCTTTCTTCTCGGGAACCTCAAACATAACATCTTTTTCCTCCTCAAAAGAAACAATATCACGCGCCTCTAGTTCTTCCTCAAGCTCCTGACTAGGAGATTTCTCTTCTTTCACCACTTCTTCTAAAACATCAAGTCTGAAACAATCGTTTTGTCAGAAGATTTTCTCATAGAATCAAAGACATTGATGGTAATGGTCTCATCATTCATTCTTAACTCGAGCTTCCTTTGTTCAACATCAATCATAGCCCGAGCAGTTGCCAAGAAAGGTCTACCCAACAAAAGAGGCATTTCAGTTTCCTCCTCCATGTCCAACACCACAAAATTCGCTGGAAAAATGAACTTGTCCACTTTCACAAGTACATCTTCAATTATACCATTGGGTTTCCTCAGAGATCTGTCAGCAAGTTGCAAGGAAACCATAGTAGGCTTAAGCTCAGAGATCTCCAAAGATTTACACACAGACAAGGGCATCAAATTTTTACTTGCCCTAAGATCACACAAAGCTCTGCCAACATTAGTGTTACCAATAGCAATTGAAATATTGAAACTCCCTGGATCACGAAGCTTTTGAGGAAACTTTTTCTGTATTATTGCACTACACTCCTCAGTAAGTGTCACAGTCTGGCATTCTTGCGACTTGTGTTTTCTTGATAAAAGGTCTTTCATAAACATGGAATAATTAGGCATATTAGCCAAAGCCTCAGCAAATGGGATATTACTGTGCAACTTTTTGAAAATATCAAGAAACCTGGCATATTGCTGCTTCTGGGCATCTTGCTTGAATCTTTCAGGATAAGGTGCCATAACTCTCACATAACCAGGACTCATCTTATGCTTCTTCTTAATAATCACAGTCTGTTCTTTTGCCTTTTTTTTTTTTCTTTTTCAACTGGCTTCACCACTTCAGCAGGTTTTTCAATTTTTTTTTCAGGCTTAACCGCCTCATCAAGCTTCTCCTCAACCTCAGGAGATGGAAGCACTTTACCACTTATGGTCATTATAGTCTTACAATTCTCCTTGGAATTCATAATAGTGTCACTAGGAAATGTTCCTGGAAGTCTCTCAGAAACTTGCTTGGACAATTGACCAATTTGAACCTCCAGGTTCCTGATAGAAGCATCCTGATTCTTGTTGTGTGCTCTAGCCTCATTGATAAAAGCATTTGTTGTCAAATGTGGTCATTTGTAGTCTTAGAAAGTTGTAACATTGCTTTATCCAGCTTAAAAGGCTCCTTTTGTGGAATAGGAGGAGGTTGCAGATAGTTGTTGGAGCTATAGTGAAAACCACCTCCTTGACCTCTCCTCTGAAAGTTGCTCTCAGAAGCAAAGTTCTGGTTTCTTTGAAAATTTGTTGGGACTTCTGTTCATACCAAACCCCATTCACTTGCACCTGCTGTGGACTAGCACCCATTAGAGTAGGGCATTCATTAGACTCATGAGCTTCTCCACAATATTCACAGACCACAGAAGTTGATTGAACCTTGGACACTTGCAGTTTCTCAAACTTTTCATTGAGGCTATCAAACTTCTTGGACAACAGCTTTTGTTCAACAAGCATAGCATCATTACCCTCCAACTTTATCACTGCTCCTCTTGCTTGAACCGGTAAGCTCTCATTCTCATTTCTGTCCAATTTCTTTATTAAATCAAGAGCTTGCTCAGACGTACACTGCCTAATAGAACCTCCCGCTACACTATTAAGCACCAACCTTGTTTCAGGAGTGATGCCATTAAAGAAAATCGCCACCTTTCTATCATCGTCTCCCTTATAGTGCAGACATTTTCTGATAAGTTCCTGGAATCTGTTCCAAGTTGCACAGAACGATTCTCCTTCAAGCTAGCAAAAATTGGTGATCTCATTCACCAGCTAGTTGTACCTTTCCATAGAAAAGAACTCGGCAAAGAATTTAGTCGACAAATCTTCCCATGTAAGGATACTGTTAGCTGCTGCCTTTCCACCCATCTGATAGCCTTTCACTTAACAGCAAAAGGGAACAATCGGAGTCTGATAGCATCGCCAGACACTCCATTATTCTTAGTAGTGTCACAGATCATCAAGAATCGATCTATGAACTTATGAGGGTCTTCATTCTCAGCACCGGAAAATTGAGTCCATTCCTGCAAAGAAATTAGAGCTGGCTTCAGCTCAAAATTGTTTGCCTCCACCGCCGGCCTGAGTATACTTGAATTTGGCCTATTGAACATCGGAGTCAAAATGGTGTCCAACAATCTTGGAGGTGGGTTATTCATATTGTGGCATCCGCCACCAGCATTGTTACCATCTGTCATCTCTTGTGTTGGTTGTACAGGTACACTATTGAATTCTTCCCAAATTATTTGCTTGGCAACTGATGGGACGTAAATTCGTTCCCATCTAAGCCCATTTTGATGGCAAAATACCATACGTTCCCTCATATGATGAGCAACTTCAGCATGAAAATCACTTGTTTTACACATTTGTGACAAAAACACAGTGGGGGAACAGATGGTAACATATTCCTTTAAAATATATTAAAAGGGGAACGAACTGAGACACATTTAATGCACCTGCTCTATTCATTTAATGCTTCTGTACACTTTGTAGGTAATGTAGAGTTAAAGACTTCTAAAAAGCAAGGCGGTGCACCAACTGAGCAGCTGGAAACGTGAAGAGCAGGGAATCAAGAGTTCTCATTGGCTGAAAACAGAAGCAAAACATGGGAAGGCCTACAAACTACGGCTAATCATCACCAAACCTTGTTCCATCCAGCAATTTGCGCAGCTTCCATACTCTGCTGCCACCATCCCATCCCCTCATTCAAGCAACTTGCTCTAAAGGATTTACAAGCTTGCCACTCTCCTTCCATCTATAAATAGGACCACCCTCAATAAAAAACATCATCGGATTCTGGAGGGATTAAAGTCCAGAAGGAAGAAGATCACCTAGTAGTAGTAGTAGTTAGTAACTTAGTTTAATTTTCAGTTGTAACTGTAGTTAAGTGACAACCCCTCTTCCCTTCTCTGTAAACAACCATCAAGACTCCTCACAAGCAAATACCCATCTTTCTCCATTTTCTGTTTCTTTTTTGTAAACTGTCTTTTAAATTAATATAAGTGTTTTTCTCTTCGTTCCAATCGTTATCTCTTGACTGAATCTCGGGTCTATGTGATCTCAGTTTAGAATAATTATGTTTAAACTATCAGCCATGAGCTGAACTATCTGTGGAACGGGTAAACTGTGAAACTCTTAAAGAACTGTTTTCAAAACTCTTGACCGAAACTTTTTGTATTTCTTTGGCTAAATAAGCTATATTCATTGTGCGCCAATGGAAATTGGGTACATACTGAGAAAGGAACTTCTATAAGGAAGAGATTTCAGACAGCTTAGCCATTGGGGGAAGGTAGATGTCATGGCAAAAACGCTACTGGTCACCTTAGGAATAAGGGGCCAACTCTTCCATTTTAAGGTTCTGAACTAAGTACCTGTTGGAGTCAAGGGAGCCATAGGAATATGGAAAGTTGTGAGTCATCTAGACCATGAGCTGAGGAATCAGAGTTGGCAGGCAAAGAATCTGGGACAAAGCCAAAAGGTGTTAAGTCTTGAGCAGAGAAAACAGCCCCTTTAAGAGTGAAGCAGTGAATCTGTTCCTTCTGTTAAACTGTTTTAACCACCACCCTGTTGTCTCTTGATTATAGTTATTTCTGTTTTAGTAGTTTTATTTTATTTCATTTAGTACTTATAAAAACTCGAATGATTGTTATCTCACCTTCTTCTAAACAGGAAGGATCACATACATAACGCAGCGAGCAACTGTTTGCCATCAGATTGAACCTACTGATCCTGAGGAACGTTGTCAAGACAGTAGGGAATGTTTGACCCGACAGTTCATTTACTAACTTTTCTTCTCATTTTCACTCTTTATAAACAGTGATAAAACAATAATTAGCACTTTATCCTCGTGGGAACGATAATTTGGGCATTAATACTCCCTTTATTACTTGATGCGTGCACTTGCGCACTTGGGTTGGAACTAAGGGAATGAATATGTGTTCTGCAAGAACAGAGGAACGTCCCCTATCAGAACTTATATTTTCCATCATCAGCAAACCACCCAACAAGTTTTTGGCGCCGTTGCCGGGGATAGAAACACTAACTGTTGTTCTTATCATTGTTTTCTAACACATATACTGTATATCTGACTTTACTTTTATATTTTTTTCTCTTTATCACTGAATCTGCTGTGCATATATATATACCCTGTGTTATTGGTTTATGAGTGAAGAGTTTGAAACAGACTCTAACCACTCCATTGAAGTACCTGAGTTTCTCTTTGATCCTGAGCCAGAACGCACACTCCAAAAGAGAAGAAGGAACCTCAGAGAAAGATTTCTTGAAAACATGGCTGATCACAATAATAACAATGAAGAGGTTCCCCCTGAACAAAATTTCAGAACTTTGGCTGCTCCTTTTAGGAACAGACCAGACAGGGGAGTAATCCTCCCTCCTGTAGCACCCGATTTTGAACTAAAACCTATCATGTTTCACATGATTAGGGAAGCAGGGGTATTCAATGGACTCCCTGCAAAAGATCCTTACACACACCTCACCACATTCCAAGATATCTGTGACAATTTTAAAGCTGAGGGTGTAACAGAAGAGAGCATGAGAATGAGTTTGTTCCCTCACTCCTTAGGCTTAAAAGCTAAAACATGGATGAAAACTCTCACCCCTGGATCAATCCACACATGGGAAGAACTCTCTAACAAGTTCATAGAGAGGTTTCTCCCAATGTCTCGACAAGCAGATGTTAGAGCAGAAATCTCTAACTTCAGAATGTTTTATGGAGAAAATCTCTATGAAGCATGGGAGAGATACAAGGACATCATAAGAAAATGTCCAAATCATGGGGTAGAAAGTTGGGGAGTGTTACAATCTTTCTATAAAGGACTTGATCATACTTCTCAGTCTTACTTAGATTTTGCTGCAGGAGGATATTTCTTTACAGGAACACTTGAATCAAGATATGAAATCATAGAAGGGACTGCTGAAAGATGTCTCCAATGGCCAATAGACAGAGTGAGCCCAGTGAGGAACTTAGGCATGCTAGAACTAGATAAACAAACTGCCATGGAAGCCCAGCTGGCATCACTCATGAATGAAGTGAAGAACCTAAAAGCCGACCAAGAAGCACCAAGGATGGAAGTCTTACAACTCACAACAACTGAAACAGAACCATGCTCAGCCTGTGGTGACCTTCATGACTCAACAAACTGCCCATCCACTGCATTGGTGTGTTATGCAGAAAATTTTGGCAATAGGAACTTCACCAGAGACAATCAAAAAGCAGGACGAAATACACATTCAAGCCCTGGAGGAACTATCATTAAGGATCAGAACCACAACACCCAATGGAGGCCACCCATTAACCAGAGACCATTCAACAACAATCAGCAGCAGTATCAGCAAGGTAGCAGCAGTGGAACGTCTGAACAAAGAAAAAACAACTACGTTCTGTTCCACAGAGATGACCAACGCATCAACACCCTGGAAAATTATGTCAAGGAATATGTCACCAGGAATGATGCAGTGGTCAGGAACATTGAGTCCCATCTGGGGCAGATTGCTGCCAACCTTCAAACCAGAACACAAGGATCATTAGCAAGGAATACTGACGTTCCTTCAGCAACCTCGCCAAAAGTAACAGCTATCTCCCCTTCAGATCAAATCAAGGCTTTCACCTTAAGAAGTGGGAAAGCCACATGACAGCCCACAGTTCGACCAAAGGAAAAAGAACAAACTGAAACACCTGAAGCAGCCCCAAAAGCACAGCAACAATAACCAGTCACAGACGAACAGAACCCAGAACCTGAAAAGGAAGCCAACAGCCAACCAATCAGTCCAACTCAAAGCAGGAAAATATCAACAAAAATTCTGTTCCCTCAAAGAAAAAAAAAAGCAACAGGAGGATAAACACTTTGGAAAGTTCCTGGACATTTTAAAACAACTTCACATCAACATTCCTCTGGTGGACGCACTAGAACAGATGCCCAGGTACGTAAAATTCATGAAAGATGTCCTCTAAAAAAAAGAGGAATAACGGAATATGAGACTGTAAAAGTGACACAAGAGAGTTGCCAATACTTAGGCAGACTCCCACCTAAGCTTCAAGACCCAGGAAGCTTCACCATTCCTTGCACTATAGGAAACACGTACCAAGGGAAAACCTTGTGAGATTTAGGGGCCAGCATCAATCTCATGCCCCTATCTGTCTTCAAAAAATTATCCACTGGACCAACTAAACCCACCACGGTGACCTTGCAAATGGCAGACAGATCCATCGTCAAGCCAGAAGAGAAGATTGAAGATCTGCTAGTCAAAGTAGATAAATTTATCTTACCTGCTGACTTCATCATTCTGGATTATGAAGCTGATGATGACGTTCCCATCATTCTGGGTACACCGTTCCTAGCAACTGGAGGAGCAGTTATCAATGTACAAAAGGGGGAACTAACCATGAGAGTTCATGACGATGAGATCAAGTTCAATATTGTCAAAGAAATAAAGTTCCAGGATGAAGGGGAAGACTTGAAGAATGTTCTGCTCTCACTTTGTTAGACAATCAGCATAGCAGAAAAACAGAGGAAGAAGAATACGAGGAAGAAGAAGAAGACCCACAACAGGAAGAGCAGAGTTGCTATCTGCAAGAAAGAAGGCATGAACCTTTGATAAGAACTGAAAAGGAGAAGCAGCTCAAAAGACCTTCTTCAGAAAAACCTCCTGAGTTAGAACTAAAACCCCTTCCCCAACATTTGCAGTATGCATATCTGGGGAACAACAAAACCCTTCCTGTGATCATTTCTTCATTTCTTACCAAGGAACATGAAGGACTGTTGCCTGACAAGCTAAAAAAATACCAAGGAGCCATCAGTTGGACCATAGCTGATCTCAAAGGTATCAGTCCCTCATTTTGTATGCATAAAATA